TGGAAGTAACTGGGTGAAACGGAAGAGCTCCTGGAAATGGCAGGCAAAGCAGAGGGTTTAGCTGTAATTAGTACCTTCCACTCCTGTGAGGTTTGATTTCCGTTCCTGTGCCAGGCGATGCTAACACAACATGCCTGTTTGAATGATAGCCAGAAAGTAGGGGAGGGACACAACGTGAGATAGAAGTCAAGTACGAAAGGGTATCTCTAGTCCAGCCAAATCCAGGCCCAAGTGTTGAAATTTAGATTAGAAGTTTTGAAATACTCTTTTTAGCAGATATAAAATGCATGTTATGATTATTCCTCTACTTTACTGAGATCGATTTAGTTTCGATCTCAAGCAACTCCTAGCCATATTTGGGCCCGAAGATCACTCTTAGGTAGGCATTTCCTCTGTATTCTCTGTGCACAGGAGCTACAGGACAAAGCCTATTACTATGCTTTCTATCTTTGGCATCACATGGTTGCTAATCCAGTGCTATGTGCATTAGTTTCTAGAGTATTATCTGAAATGGCTTTGTGAAGTAGTACATGAAGTATCCGTTGTGAAACAGAAGCTTCTTTGTAGGAACTATGTGAGCAGGTGTGAAAGAGTAATCATTGGAAGTGGGTCATATTTCACTTTTCATGGATCTTTTGGCTGTTTAGCTAAGTGGCTTGCCTGATTGCAGTGAATAGGATGTGATCAACATAAATTTCCTGCCTGTTTTTTAAAATTCTGACACCTGTGGGTTTTAGTGTTTACAAGTGGGCACAAAGAAACCAGAGCTGCAGTGTGCCAACTGTTTTCTGGCAATTGACCTTATAAAAAGTGAGAAATGTGTATTTAACACATTCTTGTTTGTTAGCATGGGAAGAACCAAATTTCAAAAGTATAACTTTGAAAGGGATCATCTTAAACTTTTGTACATGCTTAATAAAAGCATATTTTTTTCACCATGGAGCTGTCTAAAATTAATTCTGTTTTCTACTTCCCTGTTATAAAACAGGAGCCAAAAGAGAAAGTGCTTTTTTTTGCTTCTCTATTTCTTTTTATAAAGCCACATCTTTCAGGTACCTTTAAAAACTTGAAAGTGAATTTAACTTACTGTTCATTTAACATTATTGCTTCAAGTTGCCAATAAAAAAGTCTAAGTCAGTCTGTATTCTTGTTACTGTGAAGAGATTAATGAACTTTAGCACTGAAATACAAAAATAGTTAAATCTACTTTGAGCTAAGCTAGTAAGCTCTTTGAGGTGTGAACAGTACTTGTATCATGTATGGAAGGGCTGACTTTGGCTTCGTGTTCTTGTGATGCAGATTGTCAGGAATACGCGAAAGGAGAGAATCAGAGCTGAGCTTTGCATTTGTGCATCTAGAAGTCTGCAGCAGCTTTACAGAAATATTCACTATAGGAAATGATAGACTTGTGCCTTTCAGTGGATAATCATGCATGCCTACATACTTTTCCCTAGTGCATTATTGTTAAAATACATGAAAGCAAGCAGTTCTAACGTCCGGGAGCTGTACTGGAGCGGATGGTGGTGGTTTTGGGCACGTCTCTGTGGTGCTTTTAGGGCAGATGTGTGCGTGCTTCCCCTGTGCTCTGGCTTTGTTAATGTGCCACTAAGCTGGTGCTGACAGATCCCACTTAATATAGTGTGGATGCAGCAGAGTCACATGGCTTTTCAGCATTTCAGAGTATGGTCAGAGCAAACGGTTTGTCTTGGACTGTGACATGTAGAAATGCTAGTGTGCCTGAATGTGTTACTTCTGTGTCAGAGGAAGTGTCTTGAAGGAGAACATCCTGACTGCAGTTTCAGTCTTGCTCCTCATTAGTGCTTTAGCTGACAAAGGCATTGAGCTGGTCAGCTGGGGAGGAATCGATTCCCTGCTAATATAAGGACAGAATAAGGAGAATTAAACTGGAAATTAAATACAGATTTGCTGACTCTGTAAGGTAGCTCTGGAGCAGTATTCCTATACATCTAAAGGGTGAGGTAGATAGAAAGTGTATCATGAGTGTCTTAGAAGAGCTCGGGACTTCTTTTCATAGCAGATTAGATGGGATCCTGTCCATCTGTAGAACATGTTTCGGGCATGTGTCTACTTTTAGAAAACTTCCATTGTAAATGATCAGAGTTCGTACCTCTGAGACTGCACAAATGCAATGATGACCTTGTCCGTTCTGTCATCTTTAAAACACGCTTTTTCCAGCACGCCAAAAATGAGATTATAGGCAAGTTGAATCATATTATAAAGCAGTACCCAGCTATTCCCAGAGATAGAGACTTTTTACAGCAACATCTCTTCTTGAGGTTTTCGGGGAGCTGAAGCAGAGCAGTAACCCCATATTTTTCCTGATTAGTTTCCTCAGAAGATAAGAGTTGAACATACAATGCCAGATGCTTGTGCATATACTACTATGATAAACAGGATCATGACATTAAAATAATTGAAAAATGCTCCGCCTTTTGTTTTTGTTTGTTTGTTTTTTTAATTTTCCAAACAATTCTCTGATTGCCTTCACAACACAGCCCTGAGAGTAAGTGGTAGAGTAAGAGCTGAAATGGTGGAATGGGAAAAATCTGCCTTTGTTGGCATTGCCACTGAGGAGGACACTTGTGAACATGATATAAATGCCCGTGTTTGTAAAGAGGGGCTCTAAATAGAAGTGATAGAAGATTTTTATTCCAGAAGGAGAGGCTACGAGTGATTAACGTTTGGGGAAGCCAACGTCCTTCATAATGTTTAAGTAATGTCATCCAGCCCTTCCCATGTAAAATAGATTTTTTTTGGCCTTGTTTTCCTAGAATGACAAGGTAAAAACTCAAGATACTTGGTTTGGTTTTCGGATCTGGTGATCATGTGCTGGATTTTGCCTTGCCAAGTCAGCAAACAAATTCATAAAGGGTTGTTCTTATTTGTTATTGATATGCGCAATTTCGATCATGGAATAAGGCTACCTTGACAATGTCAGATTAAAAGTCTCTGAATATCTGTCATTGTCCTGTAGAAGATGATCAGTGATTCTGTACCAAAGCACTGACAAATTCAAATGCAATAAAATGAACTAATAGGAAGCCTCAGGCATGTTGAAGCTAGGGAGGTTTTGGTGATGGAACTTGAAACCACGTTAAGCCCACTCGATTTGGGTTTTCTGTACAAACTGCAAATAATATAGGCTTGTCAAAATGTTCATCTGGTCTTCTGTTCCTTCTAAGTGAATCTAGGTTAACAGCTGTTTTCTCGCTTGTATTGTGAGGATCAATTCGTTCTTGGCCTGCTCAAGTTCTGAAACCAATGGTCCCCTTGAATTTTAGATTGACTGTCTTACCCAGAGATTTGTCAACACACTTCCTTTTCTGATTTCTTCAAAATTTCAAGAAAGAAAATCTAATTTTTCCCGACTGCTTAGAGATCACAGCTGTCCATATATTGGTTAAGCTTGTCAGGTTGAAGTTGGGATGCTGTACTGAAGTACTTTCCTGTTGCCAAGAAATCAAAAGTACCATTGTGAAGGCTAAAGTCTTAAAATACCAGTTCATGCACCTGCAGTGATACCTGAACTCCTCACTTCTCTTCAGCTATCCATTTCCATGTAACATACACCATCACTATGAATTTCTCAACAAGTGCAGACACACTGTTGAAATAAAACCCAAACAAACCTGCAAAAGCAACAAAGAAAGAATGAACAACGTAATTTCAGAATTTCTTCATTTCAGTATTGAATTTCTCAACTGGAAACCCACGCTAGCAAAAACTCAGCTGTCATCCAGATCTGAGTTTCAATTGCACGAGGCATTGATAGTGAAGGCTGTGGTTTGAAAGTCCTGCAAGCCTGAGTAGCATGAAGAAAGACTTTGTGACTTCTGTGACTTTTCTTTTTAAAAGGAGACTTTAAAAAATGTGCTATGGTTCATGCACCTGAAATTGTCAACATAGAACTTGAAAACTGGTCCTACAGGGGATGAGTTTCATGAATCACTGAAAAGGAAAGCGATGAAACAGTTATCAGTGACAGCTGTGATTCATAGCTTCTGATTAACGCAATGCAGGACATGTTGTGCAACAGTATGCAGACAGCAGCTTTCATATGGAAATGCAAAAATATTACAAAGTATATTCCTAAAAGCGATTTTCAGGCAGGTTTTAAGCTCCAAAGTGACTCAGAATCTGGTCACCTCTGAGGATATTTTAATTATCCAAGGAGATATGTTTTTTTGTGAGTTGTTTTGTGGGGCTATGTCTTGCTTTCAGAAGTCAAGCTTTTTTCTTCTTCAGAGCTCAGTACTTCTATAAGTGTGACCCCTTTCCCTCTCTGTTACTTTTCAGTGAAATACTTTTGTTTCCTGCCTCTTACCATTATTGGAATAGAAGCTGAGAAGAAGAAAAACATGTTGGAAACAATTGGTAATCTTTTTTTATTTGTATCACTATAATTTTGGGAGCGAATCAAATGTGCATGATAGGTTTAAGACATAGGTATATACTGCTGAGAGAGGTTTTGTAAAAAATATCGACGGTGCTTAGAAATGCGTAATGCTTTCCCATTTTTGTATTTTGCATTTGGAAACAAAGGATGCACCATCATTTGTTTAGCATATTTAATTTTTAGTCTTGTTGTCCTGATTTCGTTTTTTTAATCTTTACTAGAATTAAGAAAGTTCATATGAAGAAAACAAATATTTTCTGTTATGGCTCTTTTTGCCGCTAGTTATTTACAGTGATCTGTAGCCACAGGTCTTGTAACTGAACTTTAATGAGGGCTCTTTCACTTCTGTAACCTAGTTCTTCATGGACAAAAGTGTAATTTTTGTTGGCTTCTGTTTTGTCGTCTTCCTCTGACTTTCTCATTCATTAGCATGTTTGGACTGGGATTTTTTGTTCGAAACTGAACCATCTCAGTCGTTTGCAGTTTGAACAGTAAAGAGGGACACATTTAAACTTGTTACCTGCTTGCATGTGCCTGTTTCTAAACTGGTACTGACTAGGAATGATTATCTCTACAGATACACATCGGGCCCTCCAGGCCATGGAGCGCTTACAGGCAAAACTTCTGGATAGAGGTGACATTGCAAATGAGGAGAAACTCAACTTATTAAAATCAGTGCTGCAGAGTCCTCTGTTTAACCAAATTCTCAACCTTCAGACTTCTGTTCAACAACTAAGAGATCAGGTAAGAAAAGCAGCCTCCCAGGTGTGAGAGAAAAATTGCTAAGAAGGTGCAAAAATATGTGTCTCTGCATGTTGAACACCGAAATTAAATAGCCTAAATTAAATATCTGATGCAGAGCTTCAGGGAACTGAGGGCAACATACCCGTTGACTTGTCTGGGCTTTGTTAAGGCCCATAGTTGGTGCATGTGTGTTTCATGTATATGCTTATTACTTCCAATGTTCACGGTAGGGAAATGGTGATGCTGGGTGGAGAGTTAAGACTTTATGTCTCAGTCCTTCAAAAGCAACATATTTTGTATGAAGTTTAAGACCTAGGAGCCTTTTATTGCTCTTCTCTGTCATACCCTGCTAAAATGAGAATATATAAGGGAAGCTGTGAAATGTTGACTTCAGAAGGACGTGAAGATCTATTTTGTATGGCAATAAAAGATCAAATAGAAGCAAGAGCTCCTGCTTTCTTTTTTTCCTGCTCAGTTTTAAGCAGTGAGGATGAGAAAAGGGACAGCAAGTTGGCTGTATTGTCTTAATTATTTATTTCTCTAATTTAGTTTCCTTGTCAGCAGCATAAGAATTTGGAGAATATAATAAATAGTTTACTAACTGAGTTAAGACTGAACTGTGCATCTGACTTTGCAAGTAGTTGATCCTGTTGACTCCTGCAAGATCGGCAGCTCTGTGGCTGGTATTCAGAAATTGTGAAGTGGGATGGTGCAGCAGCCCCTGCACACTGACCTTCTTGTCAGTTTGGAGCCACATCTGGTTTCTGACTGGACTGCAACTGATGAGTAGCCTTCAGCTGTTTGGCAAAAGATCACAATCTGGCACTTTATTGCTTCTTGTGGATCATCCTGATGCTATTTTACACAGATAAGAAACAAGTTAGAATGGTGTCTGCAATGCTATACTTGATAGTGTTTTTCAGGTTTTTCATGTTTGGTGTGTAGAGACTTGATGACGTTGGAGTGATTTTAAAAAAAATCTGGGAAAAAAAGGCATTTTGAGGGTTTGAATGGTGACATCCAGAAATGAAGAGAATTATGTGGTGATGACTCTAGGAACATGTAGTGTGTGCCTGAGGCATTAACAGGAACTTGGTGAAAGGGTGAACTGAATTTTCATTTCCAGACATCAGCTGTGAAGTTCAAGGATACTTCTCTTCACAGTCACCTAAATTAGTAAAATGAAGCACCTGAAACGGCAGATGGGTAGTTTCAGATATGTTTGCTTAAAAAAGCATATAGTAATTTTACCTTCTGCTCTAACTTTGCAGGTTTTTCTGTGCAGTAGCTTTAGTAGCCTGTGCACGTTGCATGGTACATGTCCAGTCAACAAGGGGGATACTTGGATATGAATTCCCTTCTTTATGCGCTTACACAAACACTGGCACATGGAGATGTATGTTTCTGGCCATTCTGAGATTTTGGCCAGCTCTTCAGAAAGTGTCCTGCATTTTCTCTCTAAAATCATGTATTCACTAGAATATAACAAGAGATTGTCTCTTATTTGCTTTATTTAAACATTTTTTGTAAAGCATTTTGTAAAGCAAAGAGTAAGATCATTAAAGAGGCAGTTACGTTGAAAAAACTGTATTTCTTGGTGTGTTCGAAGGCTCATTAGTTTTCTTGCTGTGGCTGGGAAGACACTGTGCTCTTGAAACTCTTTAGCTGCATGCTGGTGAAGACTGTAAGGCATGTAATTAGTGACCAGTTCGTTCTGTCTTTTTAACCAAGCCATGCCTGACTGAGGGAGGAGACAAGTCATTTCCCGAGCACTTGCAGTCAGAGTTGTGTTTGAGACAGGATAAATGGTGCTAAGCCGCAGTGGCTAGGTGTTGGAGTCTCTGCCCACTCAGTCTGAGATGGCACAGTCTTTTTGATGTTTCACGATGAGCTGCTCAGAATGTTGAGCCGGAGTCTGTTTATTCTCAAGGTGACAGTAAGTGACAGTCAGATAAATGCCTTCTGTGTTTTGAATTGGTTTACAAGTTTATAAAGAGCTACAAGACTATAGCAAAATTATCGGACGGCCATCTTTTAGGAAAAGTATAGGTTGAAAGAGAGAATGGGAGCAGAGAAGCAGTAATGACAATTTACACTCCAAGTCAAAGTGATTCTTTGCAAGCAACCCATTAGAAATAGGTCACAAAGTGAGAACTGTCTGTGGGCCTTTAGTTGACTCAATAAATTTGAGGGTAGGACGTATTCCTGTCCTGAGACACTGTGTCTGGAAAGCATAGAAATGATAGCGAGAGCCTCTTCTTCTGTTTGTGCAGTGAGTCTGGAAAATGAGCTGGCAAAACTTGTAGGAGTCTGTCAGGTTTTCCTAAGAGGAAAGAGGATGCAAGTGTACTGTTTAAGCAGACAGATATTCCTTGGATTCCAGTAAGAGTTACTACCATTTTTTGTGGTCTGAAATAGCAGACTACTTTTTTTTTTCCTCTCTCTCTTTTACAGATAAGTGATCTTTTAAGCACCAAAAGGTCAGAAAATAAGTGTCTTTCTGCATGCATGGAGGTTTTGAGAGTTGCTGACCCATTTCCTTAAAGCTTTTGTGTGTTAATTGGAAACTGATCTCCACTGTTGACTTGTGCTTAACAAGAGAGAGCCTCTTTAGTTTGCATTTGTTTTATATGCAGTGATCTGTTCCTTCATCTGGATGTTGGTGAAGCATAATGCAAAAGTCAACGAATCTGATTGTTTGGTGCTTATTGGTAGGTGCTTTAAAGGTTTGTTGGTTTTTTTTTCTTAAGCAAGCAAGCAGGATTTGTTGGCACTGCAAATCTATCATTGCAGAGTTAAGAACTGGAGTAGGAAAAGTCTAGGGACAGCAAAGGGGAGTTCTTTTGACAGTTACTGTCACTTGAATTTAGGAACTATTTTTTTTCTGTGTTTTCATATCCTTATCTTCAGTGAGTGCCTATTTGCTTATGCTGAAGAGCATTATTTGAAAATAAGGGGATGACAGAAAAGAGAAAAAGAGATTGTGATGTTTTGAACTTCTTAATGGTATTTTATTTTCTTTATAAATATTTTAAAGAGAATACTCAGACCATGCTGGCAGTCCTCTCCCACTTCTCTTTCTTTCCATTTTGGCTCTCCCTTTTCCACCTCCTCCTCCCCTCCTCCTCTCGCCTCCACTCCACTCCGGGCTCTGCTGGAACAAAATACCCTTCCCTTGGCTGCGCTGCATTCCTCAGATTTTTTTTTTTGCTTATGAGTTTGACTGTAGATTTTAGTTCACAGTGCAGCAGTGAGAAAGAGTCCCATGGCAGCGCAGCATGTACTGGGTTGCAGGGAGTAGCTGCCTGTCAGCATTAGACTGGATTTAGGGAAGAAGCAGTGAAACTCTGTCTTTTCATACTGCCTGTGAACACTCACTTAACCCTGTGGTTTGAAAACCGGAGGAGACCTTTAGTTCCTGTCCTGAACCCCTTCCTGCAACAGTGCAGTTCACTCTGTGTTTTGAAATGGAATGCTTTTAAGAAGTGCTGTTTTGGGATCTGCATGACCCAAAGGAGCTGCCAGCAGGGCAGTACCAGAGCAGTGCCCGTGCTGGAGCAGCCCTGATGCCTGTTCCCGGGCAGCCTGGAGGTTTTCTCTGTTGAACAGACAAAACCTCCAGCCTAGCTGGGCTGGGTGCCTGGCAGTGCTGTCCTCTCTGCTGCCTCCATGCAAGGCAATCGCAATGGCTGGCTTGAGTTGTTTTTTCGTTAAAAAAATATTTTGAGTAACTGCACCTAAGCACTGTTTGTTGCGTTTAATGTCTGTCTGTGCGACCGTAATGTAAGCTTTATCATACTCAGTAGTATTTGTGAATTTTTCTTTTATCTTATGCTAAATTATGTCTGTATTGCAGATGTTACCTACAGTAAGGAAAAAGCCAATCAAGGCAAATTAGCATAAGTGAACTTAAAGAACAAAGCAATATTCTTTCATAGGGTATTTACACAGCCACAGGGCTATAAAGATGCTTCTTGATGAAGTTATGGTGATTTTTATTACTGCAAAGTAGTGCAGTTTATATGTTATGAAAAATATTTGATGCAAGCGCAAAAGTACCCTTTTTCTAAGATTTCCACTTGTGGTTTATTACTTCCCCTAGAATGACCCCTACTCCTGTGGTTAGCAAGAGCATACACCAATTCTTACCTTTTACATACTGTAAGCCTATATTTTGAGAGGGACAGGGAAGAGAGTGGTTGTCACATTTCTGCTTGTAATTTTTTAGGGGATTCTGAACTTCTGCCCTTAGGGTCATTATAAATGCCAGTATAAAATAGAAATGGTTTTGAAGTGTAAGTGTGAATGTGTGTTGTAGGAGAAGATACATTCTGAATTTTTTTGAGCGTACATACACGACTTTATTCTGTTAACATTTTTTCTTAGAGTTTCTGTTTTTTTTGAGTTTCACAAGTCAGAAGCCACTTTGAGGTACACTCCTTGTGTTAAGGACATTATCCATTGAACATAGCTGTGTTTGTTTAAAAAAGGTGTGATGAAAAGTAGGTGGTGTTGGTATCAGTTGCTGTTGAAGAGGTGATGTTTGACACTGGCTTGTAGTTCTGTTGTAATCACAGCTGTACTAAAGATTTGAGCTGAAGCTTTCAAATGTACTTAAACTGATGTGGATTGGAGATTTTTACTTCTTCCTGCTGTATATAGTCTGCAACACTTCTTTTCAGTGATATTTCAACCATCATACAAATAAAAAACATGCAATGTCTTCAGAATAATGGAGTTAATAATTACTTACGGAAGATGCCTTAGAAAAACATGAATAACTTCCATCTTCTGGTTTGGAAGGCGGAAGGAATGGGAGAAATCAGACAATTCCTATACACTTGCAGTGATATCCCAGCTCATACAGGTATGCAGAAGGGCTGAAGTGTCAGTCTGAAAAGGTGAGTGCTATATTGCCAGCTCAAATAGGATTTGGCCTATGAAAACATACAACGTGACACTAAAACCTGAATTTGCATGGTGCTAGTTCTATTTTTGCATGGGGATGTGAGTTCTCTGCCAGAGAGAAAGACGTAAATCCCTGAGGAGACTGTCATATCTTAACTGAAAAACTCCTTCAAACTTACCTAGAGAAGAAAATGTTGGTACTGGGCACATGTTCAGATGGAATTCAGTATGCCTGTCATGACTAGTCTGCCATTTGAACTTACAGACAGTGAGCTGAGCTGCCTGAAGCAATCCTTTGTTAAACTAGTACTAGCAGAACATATATAGAACATAGTACAGGGTGTGCACAGAGCTGCTCTGCGTACTGAAGGTTGTGCTGTATGGGCTATTGAGTGGTAACCAGAAGTGTTTTAGATTGTAATACAATTCATCCTAAGGGCAATGTGTCATACTCAATAACCTTTTATTTTTTGACGTGTAGCTCCATTTCTTTGCTTTCCTGTTTGTGCATACAGGGAAGTGTTTTATTGTTTGTTAGGGAGGAAAAATATCATGATGTAAACACAGCTGTATCATTCATACTATTCAAAAAATGCGCTATCTTATGATTACTGTGGCTTTCTTATTCTACTTTTTGTGCATTGCATGATTTTTCCAGTGTTGCAAGTTTCTCGTTACACATTTATCTATAAAAGAGTGCTCTAGATACAGGAAAGACATTGACTTTTTATTCAGAGAGGTTTCACAGACTGGGATCATCTCTATGTTAGCTCTTTGCACATCATAGGGTAACATGGAAAAAAACTTAGTGAAATTCCTGAAGGAAAATGGAAGGGAAATAGACAGTGGGATGGCCAGAGCAGTGGTTCCTCAGCAGTCAATTTCAGTGTCTTAAAACTTTTTCTCACTTTTTTTTGCCTACATAGTGACTTTTTTCCTTGTGCCATCCTGAAGGATGAAACTGCAGGATGCTCCTGCCACACTGAAAGGATCCCAAGGCAGCGTTAACGCTATGCTTAGGATGGTGCTAAGTGAGGCTGAAGGCATTTCATGTATTTTTCTCGAGGTTAAATTGTACTGGTTAGAGCAATTATGACTCTTGGCTGCTGAGCCTTGCATACTTAGTTTGAGGTTACCATTCCAAATTCTGCACCAAAAAAGTTATATGAGCTCTTGTTAATCCACGTTGGGCAAAATCAGTATTTTTTGCTCATACTGTGCGGTTACTTGTTTAGGCTAACCTTGCTGCCTTTAATGGTGAGTTCTCTGATGACTCCTTTGACCAAGCAAGCTCTGAGGATTTTTTTAAGGGTAAATAAGTACTATTTTCTACAATGAGCACTGCAATTTAGAAAATGAACATGTCTCCATGATTTAACTAACATTTGTGATATTAGACCCAAACGCAGTGGCCTTTGAATGCACATGAAAAGTAGTTTGGGTATGTATCTTTTATACTCAGGCTGATTTATTTTACTGTGGAAATGTAAAAAAGTTTTTAAATAGAAGCAGTGCAAGACTAGCTAATTACAGTGACATTAGACACTCTGAGAAATAATAATCTGACCCATGACAATTTTTTTGTGGGAAAGAACTTGATAGTGACATGTATAAGAAGATTCGAAGGTGGAGAAGAACAAGAAGTGAAACACATTAATTGACCAAGTTCAGTGATATACTTTTATATGTTGAAATAGATGGCATTGCGGAAGGTGGAATTGAATTATGTGGACTCATGCAGATGAGAAGCACAGTATGGCGTAAGACTTTGCTAGTTTCAAATCCATGCATATAATGTAAGGGGAAATCTTGTGTTCATGGAAGGACATAATTTTGTTAAGTGTTTGAGTGTTGTTGCATGTAACGAACTATTAAATGAGGCATATCTGTCTGCACCTTACTGCTTACCGAAGTGACTGTATGGGATTAACAAAGTGCACATGTCCACATTTTAGGCATTATGATTTGTTTGAAACATAACCCAAGTGATTCCTCACAAATATGGTTAATAGAATGTAATCACTGTGTGATGGAAATCGCTGAGTGCCAAACATCCTGTTTTATCTCTTCCCAGTTTTTTGTAGCAAAGCAGACTAAGTGCTATTGAGAATTTTTCTATCCGGTGTTGTCTTAACGGTATATTTTCTGTAACTTGAGGATCTTCACAGGCACATAAGATGTTCAACAAATGATGTTTGTTCTGTTTTATTTTCTTAAAGCACTTAGATGAGAAGGAATTGTGTGATGAAGAACAACACTGACCTTTTAATGACTGGACTTTTGGGAGAGTGACATCATAAACCTAATGGAAGCAGCATGCTTAGACAGTTGAGATTAATGCAATAGACATTTCAGAATACATTTACACTTTTGAAATATTTTGTTGATACTTGAAATTTAAAAAAAATACTTCAGGATAGGAGAATCACAGTTTTTCGTATTGTGGTGCAGAGTGCTAGAAAATCTGCACTGTAAAACTATGAAAAATATATGAGGCTGCGGTGTTGTGGTCCTAAATTGTGGTTATTGTGCCAGGCAAGTATGAAACAGATTAGTGTAAAGTAAAACAGTGCCTATTGACAGCCAGCAGACCAGTGAGATGATAGCCAGATGAGGGCTTCTGCTTCAGCTGAGCTTTTTATCACCTCCGGCCATTCACTAGGTTTATCATCAGAGACCTGCTTAAAAACAGGCAGTTTACTATGGCTGGGAAAAGTGAAGAATTTTCTTATTTTCTCTTCTAAGAGAAGTGCATTGTCAAGGCTACCTGTGTAAAGGTGTGGCTGTGGTTTTCCTATTGGCCTGGTGATTTTAGGCTTGTTTGATAATTTGGTATTTAATTATGCAGAGACTCACACTGGTGGCCTAAGTGCATAGTGATGCAGAAAGCCTGACCAGTGAAAATTGTTTCTGATGTAGCTTGTGAGGTTTCATTTCTTTTTTCATCAAAATACTCATACTGCTGGTATGAAAAAAACAACTGTAAGAAAATTTACGATTATATTAATAATTTTCTTTTGTATTTTATGCTGATAATTCACAACTTTACATTGATTTAAAAGAAAAATAATCTTTAATATTTTTAAAATGTCTTTTTAAAATTGGAAATCGGGATTTCAAGTATTTTTAACACGCAATTGGCGTATCATGGTGCTCTTGGATAAAGACGAGGTTTATAAACCCATGTCTGAAAACCTGTGTTGCCGTCAATCTTTTACAGGTAAATATTACACCTTCCATACATTCCACTGGTGAGTTCCACCAGCTTCTCCATCATGGTGTGAATATGGGGTCCTTACCACATAATGAGTCATATTTACTGGCTCAGCAAAATGGCAGTCCTGCTAATGTGGTGGAAGCATCGATGAGATCTGTTACTCCTCAGATTAATGGGAAGTCCTCTGGTGATGACTTTGAACAGCTGATCAGAAATATGTCCCAGGTAAGCACGTTGTCTGGTAACGATGAAATGCGGATCGCATTTAACCTGGAAGATTAAAATATGTTTATGTTTATTCAGAAGCAGCTTATTAAGCAAAACTGAAGCAAAAATAACCTCCTTGTAATTTGAGGGATGATCAGTAAAGGAGAAAACAGTTGGAGAAGTAGCCTTGACATAATCACTGCTGAGTTACTGTCCGTAGCTGGGCAGCGTACTTTTCACTCCTCAGCATACTCTTGTCATTCTGTGCCATTCTAGGACTGCTGCTCTGTGCACGAGCGAGATACTTTGTCAGAGCGTGCTCTTGTGTGCGTAACTAATGAAAGCTAGTTCTATGACTTGCTTTGAAATCAGTTGGAAGGTTCCTTTTTGGCCTTGTTAAACGCTATTCTGTAATCTTACTGCTTTCCTTTGGTAGGTAGAAGTGGTGTACAAATACAGTGGCTGGAGGTGAGAACAGACAGGCATACATTCTAGCATTTTTCTAATTAACCTACGTTAGAACCAAATAGGGGAAATTGTTTGCTGTTCTCCTGGAGTGCCTTTTGCACAGCCCTGCTTTGTCCCTCCTTCTGGAATTCATCCATTTTCTAGTTCTGCTTGAGAGTGGGTCTGTACCTTCTAATTTCGTAGACACATATGTCCTAGTTTAGTCACTACTAAGCCTAGGCTCTCTGTATTTAGGTGTTATTTCCTGATTTCCTCTTCTGGGCTCTAATAGTCTGTATTTCTCAAAGCTTTCGTAGTTGTTGCTTTTTTGTAGATAGCAAGAAATTAAAACTGAGGAGCTAGGTTTCTGTTACTAACTAGTGTAGCCTTGTCCAGCTGTAGCAGTCAAATTAGAAACTGATTTTCAAGTTGTTGTGCACAGTCATTAATGCTGCTTTTCAACATTTTTAAGATTTGTACTCTTTTTTTTTTTTTGTTTTCCGTCTACTGAGTAGGGTCGTCTTGTTGAGACCATTGAGCTTGTTAAACCTTTAAGTGGTGGTCTGGGCTTCAGTGTCGTGGGACTAAAAAGTGAAAACAGAGGAGAGCTAGGAATATTTGTGCAAGAAATCCAGGAGGGAAGTGTGGCACATAGGTAAGATTACTACTGGAACACCAAGTGTTAACATAACACTTCAATTTAGTTGTTTTCTTGCTGGTTTGTTTGGGCGCATTTCTTTTGTATTCTGTTGTAGGAGGTTTAAAATCACTTATCGCTATAATTTATAAATAAAAAATT